ATGGATGGATGGATGGATGGTTCGCATCCTCGAGGACGCCCGTTTTAAGCCCGAATTTCAACCCTCGGTGCAGCCCCTCGCTGTTGGGTGTGGGGACAGAGGTTTCACGCGTGAAAGATGCGCTCTGAGCATGCACATAGATATTTTTAAAAAGAAAAAAAGAAACCGATCAGCGTACAAGAGCCGTGAAGCACCCACGGCCCATCCAGGGGGGATCCGTGGAAATGTGCCGGGTGGGGAGCGCCGAGGAGCGTGGACAGGGGGTGACAGGTCGCCCCCACCCAGAACTGTCCGGGGATCGGGCTCGGTGCTCCCCGAGCTGTCCAGCCTCGCCGACGCCGCCGGGACCGAGCGAGGAGCCCGGGGCAATGGGAACCGCTCCCTGCAGCCCATTAGGGGGAAGGGGGAGAGAGGAGGGGGATGCTCATGGCTCTCCCCGAGCCGGGGGCTTTAACCCACTCCGGGAAATCTCGTGTTTCCTCTCTCCCCTCAGAGGAGTCGCTTTGCCTGCAAGGTTTTACCCCGCGGGGTGTCCCCTCCTTTCCGTACTCCGGGAATTGGGGGCGCACCAGAAGGAGGAAACGGAGGGGGAGAACGGCGCGGTCTGTCTGTCTGTCTGTCTGTCTGTCCTGAGGCACTTTCCGGGCTGCCCCTCCGGCTCTCTCCGCACCGGGAGGCCCCACGGCCGCCCCCGGAGTGTGGGGCGCCCCAGCACCAGGGTGGTCTCCTGCCCACCCCTCCTCCTCCGATTCCCTGGAGAGGAGGAGGACAGTGAAGCGGGCAGCAGCGTTCAGGAGCACAAACTTTCCTCTTCCTGCCATCCCTCTGCCCAAATTTTAGCATTTTATGGACCTGTCTCCCCGGGGTTTTCCTCTTCATCCCCGCTCCCCAAATTTCCTCCCACCCCAAGCACATCCTCTGGGCCAGAGGGGTTTCCGACCCTTGGGAAAAATCATTTTGTGTCTTTTAACACTTGGGGGGACCTTAATGCGAGATGAGATCTTTGGGCAGGTGAGCTGAGATTCCCACCCCCGCTCCCTCCGGCACTTACAGCCCTGAGACCTACAGCCGTGGGATCACAGGAGGGGAATTTCCATCCAAAGGTCACAAAATTGCTAAACCATTTTAAAACGTGCCTTTAGCCCTGTCCGGAGGTAGTGAAGAAACCGCTTTCCTTCAGCTGTTTGGAGGGCAGGGAATTATTAATGCAAAATGAAATGGATAAAACTAAAAAGAAAAAAAAGTAAAATAATAAATCAACAGCTACGCCAAGTCTCATCGGTGGCAGGGGGGAAAAGAAATGGGAACAGCCCTGAGGGCTCCATCCTGCTCCGACAGGGGTGGCACGGCGGGACCCTGTTCCCGCATGTTCCTCGCAGCCACAGCCCCGGTTGCGGGAGGAGGACAACCGCTTTCAAATTTAGTTTGCTTAGGCTGTCCCATTATTTTCAACCCGTCCTCGATAGACTCATCTTCCTATCCCCCTCCCAGCCGGGAGAAAGTAATGGTGGGGAGTGCAAAACACCCCCTACAAAAAAAAAAATATAAAATTAAAAAAAAAAATAAAATAAAAAGAGCAAACCCATCATTTCCCCCGTCTCCTCGGATTATCCAGTGATCCCCGGGGGTTTTGAGAGGAGCAGTGGCCTTGACCGTCCTTTTCCCAGGCTGTGGCTGCAGATCCATCACCTCGCCCCACCACGGCAGCCCCCAGCAGGGTTTCCAGTGACAGCTCGGCGTTAATAGGAGCCCATTGTTGGAGCAATTAGCCCCAAGCTCACCACCAGCCGCCTGATAAGGGTCGGGGACTCGGGGGTTAATTCTGCCGGGGGGGAGGGGGCTGCGGGGAGAGGGGCTCCAGCATCCCTCCTAGCTAGGGGAGGGATGGGAGGAATGGGGATAA